GTGTAGGATGCTCGAGGTTCATTCTGACTCCGTTGAACCCAAGGTACTACATGTACTTTGTCACTGCTATTCTGCAATAAACATCTTCATCGAGATCTTCATCGTCTTCATCACTTTTTCTTACAGTATGCATGCCTTAAGACAAAAGCCACAAAACTCTAGTTTGGATTTCATGTGGTTTAAGGAAAATACTGCAATAAATATCTTGTTCCACAAACCTTACCTAAGTCCACCTGGACTGGGCTAGGATTCATGTATGGATTGGTCAAACTGTGTATTTATGTTTTCTCTTACTTTCCTGAGTTACTGTATACATATAGTGATATACTATACACCCAAATAAAACATTTTTCTAAATTCAGAATGATTAGGGAGCTGGTCCTCCCTATGACTGTAAAGTGTGCACTTGATGTTAGGTTATGGCAGAAGTGACCTATCATTCAGAGATTGGGCTTGTTCAAATTCCTCCCAGTGGTGTTTCGGTCAGGACTTTGACCACATCAATCGAGTTTCAGCTACACTAGACTCAGTACACCACTGTTATGGACTTCTACAGGCCTCATTTTGAGCAAAACAGTGCAAATGTTTAAGTAAAGCAACTTTATCCAAAGTGACTAACATTGCACAGGTATACATTTGATCAGTTCTTGCGTTCCCTGGGAATCAAGCCCACAACCTTGGCGTTTATAGCTGCTCGCTCTACTATTTCAGCTACAGGGAGGCTTTATATCTATACAATACCCATGGAAAATTCTGTCCTCAACACACTAAATCCACACTATCTCTAGTAACGCTTCAGAGCTGTATTCGAGGCCAGGCGTATCCCATCATTAATTATGTTCAGGAACTCATGTGCACCAAAATCATGGCATGAGGAAACTTTTAGTGCAAGTGAAATTAATTATAGATATTACATGTGATTTGGTAGTAAAACAGAATGTTTCTCACTGTATTGGGGAGTATGTGTATTTTGTAAAATGTTTGCAAATGCTTTACCACTAAATTAGAAATATCGTAATTACTAAATTGTCTTCTGGTAAACAGGAACTGCTGAACAGACATTTAGAAGCTTATTTTAAAGTGCAAATGATTGAAAATCAAGATGTGAAAAACCTCTGTAAAAACCCATCGAAGCTCCATTTAATAGCACAAATCATTCACTCTCGAGCAGATGCTGACTCTCACCCATTAATATCAGAACAGAATTATTAATCATGTGCAGAAAAACAGCATAATATATGTCTTACTATATATTCACAAAACCCACTTCACAGACGACAGTATTCATGAGAACTCAGCTCACAGTGTTTAATTATTTTTTTTGATCATGTTAAACCTCCAGCTGATTTGTCCAATAACTCATGAGGATGAAGATGTAAAAATGCAGGTTATATTTGCTGAACAGAGGAAAATAATGTATCATGTAAGCCGTGTCTGTCAAAATGAATATACCCATCTTGTGCTCATCTCAGTTTGCAGCACTGCGGATCAGAGCGTCATGGGATGAAGCGAGAGATCAGTGCCGGACACATACTGTAACTCACTATCTGAATATTCACTACTGGGCCAGAAATTCACTGTTCTGACTCCACTTTACTAGCACTGTACAACTAGTTAATTTCATTTGTTAAGCATTGTGCATGAGAAAAATGTTACCCACGATTCAGAAGATCTCCAACACTATGAATTTCCTTTCACTTCCCTTTCAATAAAGCACTGAAAGAACAGCATATGCAAAATACCTGTGATGCAAAACACAGGTCACTATTACATTTTTTTTCTCAGTGGAAAAATTATTGATATACAAATATAAAGTACATTCTAAACAGCTAATTTCTATTCAATTGTTTTGTGGGAAAAAAAAAAAAAAGACAAAGTGGCCATTACTGTAACATATCAACAGCAACACCAAAAAACAACAACAACAATACAAATGGGACAAACAAGTAGATGGTCCTACAACCAGCATGAGGAAGTTAACTAGTGTTGATGGATTGATTATTAACGTTGATGGTCTTTGTTCTCCTCACTGAAGCACTTAAGCCAGACTCCGCTGACGAGGTTTAATTCTTGGATACAACTGTTGAGGAAGAAAAACAACAATTATAATACACACACATGCAGTGAACTCAGTCTTTGGCACATTAGATGCTTCACAAAAACATTTATTTTCAGACAGTTTATGTATTCTGCTTTAGTACATCAGTTGGAAATATCCATTTTAGATTTGCAAACATTGCATGCATATTTTGAAAAGCAGGCTTTAATGAAGCAATATTAAAGTCATTGAACTACAGTGCTGAGGATTATGTTCTGTATTTGTGCACATTTTTACACTAAATGTCATCAGATCTTAAACTACAACCTTCTTGAGTAAAAAAACATACAATAAATCTTTCACGTTTTTAGACATTTATTATAGTGTGAAAAGGGTAATAACTGGCTCCTCCCCCAGTCATTTCTGAGTGTCCTGTGTGAACGTGAGCCTCGGAGGCCGTCACTCACCCCCAGCAGGTTTCGGGGGACGTATCCCTCTCGGCTGGCCATGTGCACCCACCACCACTCGGTCTCGTCCTCGTCCTCCCGCCGCAGTACCGTCATGCAGTCGCCCTCTTTGAAGGCCGGCTCGTCGTCCTGCGCGCTCTCGTAGTCCCACAGGCCGTACACCACCCCTCGGTTCATGATGCCCATCTTCTCCTGGACGCCTGAACAACATGAGACAGAGCTGTGAAACGACATGCACGACCGAGGCCTGAACACAGAGCGCTATGAGTTTATAGGAGTGTTGTTATAATGCTGGAATTGTAACCAATAGACCAATTCAGAGTAGACGTCACAGTTACGTCACTTGCAGCTGCGCGCGCATCCTGAATGTTTACAAACCTATAATTGGTCTATATGTTTAGTTTGACTGCAAGTGTGTGTTTGAGAGAGAGTGGTTGAGTGTGCATGCAAAACAACTACTTTTTATTTTTTTTATTACAAACCCAACACCAGGGGTCCAAATGTGCATCTCCCAGGATCCCAGACAATTCTCGTTGTCTAAATGTGTTTATATTCTTCATATTTTCTTCAGAGCAGAAGTGACTCGTGCCCTTTCACATTCTCTTTCCATGTTTGATGCGGTTTCATATAAACATCACACTTCCATGTGCTCATTCCTGAAAACTCAGGATCAGATCCCGAGCTGACAGAAAGATTATAGTGAAAGCAGGCTGGATTTGATTGGTTGTGTTAAACCAATTCTACATCCTCAAGTTTGTGCTAGCGTCGTGTTATGGGCCACTGGAATCATAAGCAAATAAGCCTCAAGATCAGAGCGTTACAGAGCTTTTTCCCCACAGGTTTGAGTGTTGTTGTCATGCATGAGCTGGAGAAACACACTTAACCGCGTGAAAACCACTGCAATGCATGGACATGGATTACTGCTTACTGAAACAGTGGAAAGCTATGTTCAGTAAATAGAAGTAAGAAAAATTCTACGGTCAAATAATATCGTCTGTAGACCGTTCTGAATTAAACTGAAGTGTCGTCACAGCTGTGGCTTTCTGAAATGAGGAGGCAAAGGCCTCGTTTAGGATTTGTTAGTCCAATTTCAACTCGTTTTCCAGTTACTCATCATCATTTCAGGTTTGATCTGCACATGATAAAGTGGTGATCTCTGTCATTAAACACCGCAACTGAGAAAGATGTGTTTTTAGTTTGAACTTGGATTTACATCCTGCTTTTTCTCTGAATGTGAGAGTAGACGGTCACAGTCTAAGAGAGTGGAGCAGCAGTAACTCACCGTAGAGGAACTGAGAGCACTGAGCGTATCCCTCCTCCATCTCCTCACACTTGTCTGCTGCTGTCTGCATGTCGCTGTAGGTCATGGCAAACACGGCCGCCCCAGACTCCACCAGGAACTTACACACCTGCACGTTATTACAGGACGCGGCGCAGTGCAGGGGCGTCCTAAACACACACACACACACAGTTACACACTGCCACCAAAACAACAGCATGTGGCTGAGGACGGACATCATCATCTATTTTTACTTTGTTTTATTGTAACCTGTTAATGTTTGTTTCATATGTCAGGGATAAAACACTGATATAATCTTGTAGGGCTTTATTTTGTGATGATGACCAGCTGTCTGTAGATCATCCTGCATATTACACAGCTACTCATACAATAAATGTGACATGAAATATTGATTTGACTTTAAACTGTTCTATAATTTTGCCTGTATATTATATTACAGTTTAATAATGCAAATACATTAGTCAATGACAAAAGCAGGTGTTTATATTGAAGTCTCAAAGGGAACATGGAGTGTTTCAGTCAATGTTGATGTTTTATTTAGTTTAGATATCGGGGTGGGAATTTTTTGGCATCTCACAATCCGATTCTTGATCTTTTTTTTTAAATGATTAATTAATGAGTTTACTGCCTCCGAGTACCAAATTGATTTGTGCATTTTTATTAAATAAGTATAAATAAATAAAATAAATACAAATTTCAAAAAATCAAAACAATTGTGTTAAGAATTATCAACCAAATAAACAGTTTCAAAACGTACAAGTTTTAAACAAGAAAACATCGTGGAAGTAGTCCATGTTTCACCAGTGATTCAACTGTAATTTCCTGAAGCGACGGGAATGCTTTTTGTGTGCCAAAAAATAATGACTATATTCATACATTTCTTCACTTCCGCTTCAATCTCCTACACGTGTTCACGAGAGCTTCTTCTTCTCTGGTCCACGAAAGCACCTCGACTCATGCGGGTTGTGTTGATGATACAACCCCTACTGTTTTTGCAAGCAGAGGAACGCTGTATTACAGCAATATTACAGTAGTGTTCCTCTTCCTCTGCTTGCAAACAGTACAGCGTGCATGTGTTGTATCATGAGAGTCGCGCTCTCGCGACAACACAACACCAGTCAATATTTTCAGATTTTCACATTTGAAGCTGCACTAAAGCCTGAATTCCTGTCTTACTGTTCAGTGATGAGGAGGCATGTGAATGAACACTGTTTGTGTGACTGTACGACATGCAATCTGATGTAACGCTCCTCACCATCCGTCACTGTCAGCGGCATTAACATTGACTCCAAACTGCACCAGGAATTTGACGATCTCTGTGTGGCCGGCACACACTGCATTATGCAGCGCCGTGATTCCCTCATCGTTAGGCTGACTGGGATCCTCAACCTGTAAAACACCCATTCATCATACCACTGCCATATTCCTGAAGTCATGATACCATGATGAGACCTTTTTTGTAATCAGGCTCTCAAAAAGTATATAAAAATTTGGATATAGATTTATCGGCCAACATATCGGTTATCGGCTTTCAAAAATAAAGAATTATTGGTTATCGGTATCGGCGCATCCCTAACCTAAAGCACTAATAATCAGTCGCACTCTCACACACAGAACAGTGAAATGTGACTTTCCTCGTAAATGACCCTCTGCACCAGATCAAACTCTCCCTCCAGTGATGAGTCCAGTAACAGAGCCAGAGGATTGAAGTGCACTCTCATGCTGTGGTCGATGCGCTCGGATCCGGCCTTACGCAGGTTCGTCCTCTTACCCTGCACAGAAAACACATGCATTTGACAGATGCTTTTATCCAAGGCGACTTGCATTTATTACAAGTTATACAGGAAGGGCTGGAGCTCAATCATTTCACAATCATTACACAGGACAGATCTCCAAACACAGAAGAAATTCATCATTACAAACGCTACAGAATCTCTAGGTTTTGCCTCTGAAACCAACTGAACTGACTTCATACAAAACGACACCACATTTATACTACGGCTGAGCACCGGAACAGCAGGGAGTGAGCATTGCATGTTATAGCTCACATTTTATGCAGATGTCTCAGAGTTTCTACCCACTGTTCTGTTATCAACAAAATGAAAATTTGCTATCTCCAGCTGATAACTATTCAGAATTTAGATTTCTCCAAGTCATTTCAGTGTGTGTGAAATCTATGAAGATTCACCTCACCAATGAACATTACAGAGAAACAGCTTTTCAATAAGAACTTAATATCGTGTCGTATTTTAGACAGAAAAAAAATAGTTTTTGCTCAATGCAAATATTACCTATTAAAGCCACAGCCAGAACTGTTGTGCGTCTCTGAGCAACACAGTTTCTGAATGAATCCGTATTTTGAACAAATCAGGTGAACCAATGATTCAATGACTCATTCATAAAGAGAACCATTTACTTCACTCGTAAATCAATCAGCCAGTTTAACGAATCAAATGAATGAATGAATAAATTAATGAATGAACGAATGAATGACTCAATGATTTATTCATTAACACACTTACTGCCACCTACTGGCACTTTTATTTTCTTATTTAATTCATATTTCCATATTAATAAAACCTCATTAAAGGGATTGTTCACCCAAAATGTAATTTCTGTCATCATGTACTCACCCTCGTGTTGTTTTAAACCTGTATTGCTTGCTTTCTTTTGCTGAACATAACACAATAATGGCTTTAAAAATTGTGTTGGTGAAACAAAAAGGGGGGGGGGGGGGGGGGGGGTTCTTAGCCAAAAGTTTATGTGTGATTAATTTGCAATTAAGTAGCTGTTGAAATGTTAAGTAGATAGTTGTGTAATTAGTTGTGTACATCATGTAATTAATTAGACTGAACATTTTAATCGCTTGACAGTTTGAGTTAACATTTGGATTAACTGGAATTGAAATATATTCAAATTATTTAGGTCAGATTAATGAGTGTTTCTTTTTTTCCTTTGTCATTATTGTTGCTAATAGTCCTTAATTAACAACTTCTTCATTTTATATGTAATCTAAAGGGCTGTTGGTCAATTAAATGAGTACATTCCCCATTCTCCCTCTTGTTGTACTCCAGTATTAGTTATTAAAGCATCATAAATTCCATTTCTCATTTTATTATGCCCAGAGGAGCTGTGTGTTGAGGCTACTAGTTTTATTTCGGCTCTCATCATTGGTTCACTTTCTCACTTTAACATACAGGTGATCACACAAAGCTAATGACGTGCATTTTGACATGAAATTTTCCTACTGTGATCTCTATTTAAGACAAGTGCAACCAAAGTCATGTGACTTAAGACTCGTCAACACAAACCCATCTCGACTAGTTGCAGAACCTACTTGATCAGACAAAAGATGCTTTTAATCAAAATTGGACTGAAAAAAACACAAGTGCATTTAATTTTGAGATGATAACTAGATCCCGTTGGCTGAGGTCTATAATGTATAGAGTATTCAATATATACTGTACATGATACAGCAGAGTCAAGACTTATTTAGGGCACTTACCGGTGGGAAGGGAACCTGGCCGGTGACCTCTGGTGGCTTCATGTTGAACGTGTCTTCTGGATTCTCCTGCTCAGCGCCGCTGGGATAAGGAGGAGGAGGATACGGAGGAAAGTCCTCCGTGAAGCTGTCAGGAGGTGGAGGTGGAGGGCTGTCCGGCTGGGGCGGTGTAGGTAAAAACGAAGCGTGGGGCTGTGGGGCCGGGTGTGGAGGTGGTGGAGGAGGGATGTCCTCTCGGTCAGTGTCTGGGGCGGCTGAGGATACCGCTGGCTCAGGAACAGGCTGCTCTGCTCCCTCAAGTGAAGCTTCATCAGCTCTGTGAGGATCTGCGGGCGTCTCCTTCTTCTCTTCTCCAGGAGGACTCACTGCGGTCTCCATAGCGGCCAGAGTCGTCTTCTGGTACAAGAGCTTCTGGATGTTGGGGCCGCACGGGCCCTCGGGCTCCGTGATGGAGCTGCGTTTCTTCAGGGGTCTTGGTGCGTTGTAGAGTTTCTTCCTGAGAGCCTCTAAGTCGGCGTCGCTCTGGCAGCGGTAGGGGTTGGAGATGAAGGGCAGCAGTTTGGTGGGACTGAGAGGTCTGGGGATCCGCTCGCTCTCAGATCCTCCAGCGCTGTGGTCCTTCTCTGTTTCTGGGCCACTGGACGAGTCCAGGTATGGGTTCTCAGGGTGCTGGTTTTGAGACTGCTGGCCTGCGGGGGTCACTGGTTTCCCATAAACTGCATGTGCATGAAGACAAAAACAACTCAAATATCAAAATCATGATTAAAATAATCACAAATAATCTTATGCTTTTATACTGTTTTCACGCTTTCATCCAACGCCATTTGGCACAGAACCAACATTATTCATAGTGCACAGTGCCAAGTTTATTAGAAAGCTAGTTTAAGACCCTGATATACTTTCAAGCAAAATCAAAGAACAAACTGATGTGATGTCATTTTGAACAAAATCAGGCCAAAATTAAGTTTGTTTGGAGTTTGTTTCAGGTGATAGAAACAGCTTGCCAAAGCAAACATTCCAGAAAAGTTCGCTGGTGAACACCTTCAAATTACCAGTGCTCTGTGGTTATTACGCAACAGGCAGGTGTGCTCTGGGGCTCCGCCTACTTTTATGTGGGAATGTTTTCTGATCATTTTCTTCTGTTCAGTCTGTCAAGGTCAGACGCAAGTAGCTCTCTTCCGTGGGGCGTCGACACAAGACCCGTGAATATATCCGTATATGGCTTAAAGGTGGTCTTATTCAAATAGCTAGCTATATACATAGAAAAACAGCTCGCTGGATGACATTTTCAAACTCAGACAGCCCATAACAAACTGGCTGCGTGTTTTCAGCTTTTCAGAGCTGGCAGATAAGCCAGAATCCTAACTAAATACAAAAAAAGCTAAAAAAAAAAAAGTGAAAATGTCATCCGATGTCCCCTTTAACTACAGTAATATTTATATCAAACAGAAGGATCAATATTGTGACTAGGTGGTACTTGCATGTTCTGATTTGACCAGAGGAGGTACTGGCTTATAAACTCTAAGATACAGTGTATTAAATAATACAAATACAGTTTATGGATTTGCGCTCACTTCATTTACCAAGTGTTTTTTGCTGCTGACCTTCAATGATCCCACCTGAAATACATTCCACCATGCAAAGGACTTCAAACATACAAGTTGGTGCAGTAAATGTGTTTAAAGTACTTGCATTTAGTTAACATTTGTAGCGACACTCTTAACCACTAACCGTAACCCAACCCTTACTGCTAAACCTAACCATTCCTCAAACTCATTAGTGATGGTTGGAATTTTCCAGAACAACATGTAGTTACACAGTAAATCATAGTTTAATGTTAGTACGTAATAGTTAAGGCTACCTCATATAAAGTGTGAGCAACTTTCCTACTCTTCTGTTGTTCTGATAGTGTTCCTGCATCTATTATTCTGATGTGAACGGGCCGTTGGGATGAATCCAGTCATGTGTGTTGAAGTGTCCAATGATTCACTCACCGCTGCTGAAGTTGCTGCCACGGTTCTGGTTCTGGGCTCGGCTCAGCGCTCCCTGCGGCTGCGTGTACATGGAGTAGATGGAGCTGGTGGTCAGCATCTGGGGCTTGTGCAGGACCTGCCCACCAGAGTCTTTGGCCCCAGGAGGCTCGAGGCTGAAGGGGTGTACAGTGGCAGCTGGGGGAGCCTCCTGTTTGGAGGGAAGAGGTAAAGTACTACCAGACTGGGATCCAGTGGGCAGCTGCTGAGTGGAAGGTTTACTCTTCCCAGGGAAGGTACCGGCACTGAGGGCACCCTTGCCGTATCCCATCTGGCCACCAGAGGGAAGGTTGGCCTGTTTCGGTTTAGTTGGAACTGGAGGAGGAACCTTGACTGTGTTCTTGACAGCGCTCTGAGTGTAAGGAGACGCAAGGTCCTCGCTGCTCTGGTTCTTCCGTAAAGAAGTTGCCGGTGGATCAATGGACTCAACCATGGAGACCGGGCGCACCCTGGGGTCCCGCTTCAGCACCTCTGTGTTATCTGGTATAGGGAGCAAAAGAATTCACAATACATTTAATCAGAGACTAACTGGGTATTACACATCCAATGGGGATGCGAGGTGTAGAGGGTCACCTTGGTTTTTAGATGCCTGGGTCACCATGCGTGGCAGACTGGACGACCCAAGATTACCGCCTGTCTTTGTAGCGGCTGAACTCCAGTTAAACTTCTTTGAGGACACCTTGCCTGAATGCAGACATGACAGACAAAATTACATTTCAGTCTCATTCTGATGATAATGGTCAAATTCAGACTGTATAGGAGTGAGGTCCCTTAAACTGCATCATCATGAACACACAATCACATTTCTGTCATGACAACTCTCAGAGGGATTGGCATAGTAATGTACATGACAATGTTAATGTATTTGGTCTTGGCGGAATAGATCTGCTACACTGCTGCGGCAGAGCAAGTACCGAGACTTGCTACTGCCAATACATCCACAACATGCTGCGGTGAGCATGTAAGAAATATTGCTGCTGCAAATATAACATACATGAAATAAGCCCACATAGCATACATGAATCACCTCGTAGCAGATCTATACAGGTGGAGCTGGGGAAGGTGGAGGGTTTCTGAAGCAAGCTGCAAACTGCTACAGCAAGCACTAGTCATATATTTGAATGTTGAGCAGCAAGCTCATTGGCTACCAATACAGGAGAGAACCAATCAGCTGTGCCATGTGATAATGATGTCATTAGGTCAGATTGAGTTAGACCTATCGGACTGCGCCATCTAGAGTTTCATGCCAGAACTCTGTATATGTAGCAACAACCACCAGTGTTGGAGTTAACACATTACAAGTAACGCGAGCCACGGAATCAGATTACTTTTTTCAAGGAACCAGTAAAGTAACACATTACTTTTAAATTTACAAGAAAATATTGTGAGTGAGGGGCAGAGGCACTTCCTTGAGCCTGAGGCTTATTAATTTCACTTTTGGTGTGAAAGGGCCTTTACAGTTGCCAAAAATAGAAAATGATCATTCTGTCATCATTTACTTACCATCATGTCCAAACCTGTAACACTTTCATTCATCTTCAAACATAAATGAAGACAATTTAATGAGAACTGAGAGAGATTTCTGTACCTTCCTTGAAAGTCCATGTAAGCAGAAATTTGAGGCTTCAAAAAGTTTATAAAGAGGAAAAACAGAAGCTCAATCGCACTTGCCTGACGCTCGAGAACAAACCTCATTGTTTCTCACACATTTGAGCTTGTTTATGCACTCTATGTATGTGTGCTGATCAATGTTTATGTGATATACAGTGGAGATCAAAATTAGAGAACAATCTATAAATACTTGATTTTTTTATGAAATATTGTTAATCTTCATCGCTTAAAATTTGAAGGAATATTAGCTGTAGGTATACCACTGTTCTACTAACATGTTTGACAAAATAACCAAGGCATTTCAACAAAAGCCTATTTTGTGGAAAACACAGTGATCAAAATTAGAGAACAATAACCACTGTAGCACGAAAGAAGATTGCAACTAAAACGATAATTAAGGAAATTAGCAGCAGATGCCAGATTGGCGCCAATAACTGGGAGGTATCTGTAAGTGTTCTCTAATTTTGATCAGAGTTTTTTTCAAATATCTTATTTAAGTTTTTTTATACTGCGCTTCAGAATACAATTACTTTATGAAATATGCTTAAAAAACTGCCCTTCTACTCCTGTTAAGATAACTTAAAATCGGACTAAGCAGTGACCTTGAAATTTAGGAAATTGTAGGTTGCTCTATGGTTTGTTATATAAAACACTGGAAATTAGCACCAGGTGCCAGATTAACACCAATAACTTGGATGTATCTGTAGGTGTTCTCGAATTTTGATAAGTTATTTTTCAAATATCTCATTTAAGTTTTTTATATTGTGCTTCAGAATACAATTAGGTTATGAAATATGCTGAAAAAACTGCCCTTCTAGGATAACTTCAAATAGGGCTAAGCAGTGACCTTGAAATTTAGGAAATTGTAGGTTGCTCTCTAATTTTGATCTTCACTGTATGTGACTTTCAATGGAGGGATTGAAATCTCTCAGGTTTCATTAAAAATATGTTTATTTGTGTTTCAAAGATCCAAAGTCTTATGGGTTTGGAACGACATGAGGAGTAAATGACTGAATTTTCATTTTTGAGTGAACTGTCTGTTAAACAGAACACTCTCTCTGAATGAATGGATTAGACAAGCCTGCATACTGGACCACAGACTAAAAATGCTGTCTTTTCTGTAGATTTGTCTATTCTTACAAAGGCAAAATGCAGTAACTGCATATTTTGTCAAAAACTAATCATTTACACATACACTTACGCACTGGGCAGACAAAGTACACATTTTATCAATATGTGTTCCCATATGAGTCAAAGCCATGACCTTGGCTTTGTTAGCTCAGTGCTCTACTAGCTGAGCTACATAAACAGAGTTAGACTGAAATGTCTCTCCCAACAACACGCCTGTGCACCACCAGGTCCTTAAAAGAATAAAAACTGAAATTGAAATTTAAAGTTCAATGCATAGGATCATTTTCTATATTCTAAAATGATCATCTCCGTTACATACGTAACACTGGTTCTCTATGTAGAAAACAAAATGCTATGGGAACACCTCCCAGATGTATTAAAAAGTTTGTATAAAAAAAAAGAAAAAAATTAGGAGAATAAGATGTGTACAGTGCATAGTAACTTTCAAATGCTAGCCATCATGTCTAAGTTACTGTTTTCTTGTAATATTGTACCAAATTATATTTGCTATTTTAATCTCTTTTGATAAAGCTGCTAACTGTTCATCTGTGGCTGAATGCACAATATAAAATAATTACAGCATCTCAATCAGAACCCAACACAAAGATACAGGGAAATCAGATCAACATGGTTTTGTGTGCATGTTTGCCATCTCTACTGCTAACCTGCAGTAAACATGAAGTTTCAGAATTACATATAAAGCAGAGGCAATAATTAATTTTTAATAATTAGATCACACTAACTGAACATACTGAACAGACAGCATAGTTCTTTGGGTCATGTAAACCAGTGATCTGCAAACCTGAGTCCGGGTGAGTGGTCTTGTCCTGATGTGGTACAGTCGCTGTGCCTTCTGGGTAAGTGTGTTTAAAGGGGCCCCTGGGCATCGTAGAGGACTGGATATAAGGACCGACAGCAGCCACACGGGCCGGTCCTGTCTGCTGCGCTGTCTGGCCATCTGAAGGCAACTGGAATAAGAACATATCAGCAGTGAAACCACACACCGATCATAGCAAAACGAGGACAATATGAAATCACTATGGACTCTGTGTGCCTGATACTGATTTTACTATACACATTAATCCAAATATTTAGCTTTTCTAAAAATCTAAAGCAACAGTAAATAATTGTTTTCAAAATAAACAATGTTAAACCTGTTAAGCACCTACATCCGTACTAGGCGTGGGCGATATACCAGTAGACTCGATTAACTGGTAGAAATATCGCAGTTACTCACTCACGTGACGTTGCTGTGCTACGTGGTCATGCAAACTCATTGTTTTCACACTTTTTTTTTTAAGCAGTGCGGTTTAAAAACAAGTGATTTGAAGCCATTGAAATCCAATCAGCAGCAAAAGAGAACTCGCATCTTAAAGTGACAGCAGTCTGTCTGTCATTCATGTCAATCAAACAAGAGAAAATCTCTCGCTGTTCTTGACAAAATCACTTTTGTAACTTTAATAAGAAGAAATATATATTTAATTTGTACAGTGAAGAATATGCAGTGTTTTAATACTTTTGATTACTTTATACAATGCAGAATTTTTGGTCATATCACCCACCCCTAATCCCTACTTATAAAATCTGTCAAATCGGCCCATGATCCCGGTCTCTTTTCAGAGTCCTGTGGTATAACATCCAGAGTCATCCATATTGCCCCGACTGAATTCGGGAATTTTCAAAATACTGTTTTACAAACAGCTGTATTGGAATGAAATTTGGAAATTTGTTATTGGGATAATTTTTGACTATCCAAAAGTAGTACTTTTTCGATTTTACACACAATAATTGAAGCTGTAGCTTTTGTGTATTTTAAATGAAACTTTGTATAAAACGTATGAACATGCTCTGAAGGCCTCTGTTCTTCAGCATAGTGCCATCTACAGGCCAAAAGAGGTACAAAAAAATATACCAAAAACCTTTGCTCTTGCTAAAATCATTTGATTCCTCTGACTCATATGCACAATATGTTCTAGTAGAAGGCACTTGCTGAACTGAGTTCATAAAATCAAGTTAACGTCAAAATTTGTTCTTAATTTTCTTACATTTTTCACAATATCACATAGCCTCTCAAAACTCACTGTTTACGTTTTGAGAAGGGAAAAAAGCCTATATAAGCCTTTTACTGACAGTTTTATATATAACAACTTTACAGTGAGTGTCACTGAATGAGTGACAGCTTCATCATGAGGCAAAAAGTCACTGTCCAAAACCTTCACCCTCTCTGTTCCTCTCTGCTGGATTGAGCTGCCAACCTCCACCTGAACTGCTGAGACCATCGCAGCTGAAGACGCTCCTCTTCTGCAAGCACTGAACCAAAAGAACATTTCCTCTGCATCTTTCCCATTCTTGTAGCTTGCTTCCTAATCTAGTTGTCTAATAAACCTGGCATTGTGTATTATGACTATTGCTGGCTCTTTGACAAACTGCTTTGTTCCTCTTCTGTAATGTGCTTTGGATAAAAGCGAATGCATGAATGTAAAGGAAGACTTTTCGTCAAATTCGCATTAAAGTATGGGCTGGTGTGAACAGAGAAAATGGCTCACGCTCACGGGGAGGTTCTCTTTCTGCTGAAGGGCTGCTTTCTTCTTCCACAAGCGATCTCGCAGCTCACCGACTCGTCTGTCCATGGTGTCCACCTCCTGGTTCCTCTTGTTCAGGTTGTCTCTCTGCTGCTGCAGTTTAGCGCTCTGCTCCAAGTTCAAGTTTTTCCTCATCTGGTGAACACACACACACACACACACACACACACAGGTGAGATGTTTCGAGCAGAGGCTCGAGGCTGTAATGTTCTCCTAACGCTCCCTGTACCTGTAGTTCCCTGTAGAGTTTGTCCAGCTCGGCCACTGAGCTGTGGTTACTGTGAAGCGCATCCAGCTGGCCATTTTTCAGGGTGTCCAGCTGTTTGTTCAGTTCTTCCACTTTAGACACGGCGACTACCAACTCTTTCTGCTTCTGAAGGAATATATTGTTCATCTGTTCCACCTGCTCAACTGAAACAAACACACAGACAGAATAACTTCCACTGCACGAGCTCAAAATCCTTGGGCCTGCGCTGAAAACACTGAATATGAGATGACCCTATATGTACACAAGAATATTCAAATGAGTCACATGAATGTGGTCATATTTAGGAGCACCACACATGACATGCAGGCAAAAAAAAACAGTTATCGTGGCCACATTGCACTCAATCATTCTCTCGTTTTATTGATTTATAAAGAAGGGAATGAATTAGGGATGTAACGATGCACTCAATTCAAGAGGATTCATGTCGGTTGAGATGTTAAACGAATCACGATACAGCTGCTGGTGGGGGTTTATATGAATGCATCTCTGAGGGGAACTCACTGTCTTCAGAAAAGTTTAGATGGTGTTTTCTTTTCATCTCATCTCTGTATAATTCATATTAAAGCTGTGTTTCAGTGCTGCTTTGTTTACAGCGGTAACCAAGTTAACGTTGTATCGCTGCTGCTCCATGAGCGCCTCCTGCTGTCAGAGAGAGAATCTGCGTCTCATTCAGCACTTCTGCCGTTTCTGTCTCGTACAGTACAGTTTCACAAAGCATTCTGTTTACGCTTCAGATTTCAAAATTATACAATCAATTTTAAATCAGAAACTGCTCATGCTGCATGTATGCAGAGTCTTTGTTTGGATTGTGATTGAAATGCAGTGGTTGCCTCTCATTTTAAATGGAAAGAGCACAGACAAAGCCTTCGTTTGCTTATATGAAGAGATTTCTTTTATTGTATTATTTATTTGATTTGGGATTTGCTTTAAAATTTCAATTTAGTTTTATTATTTGACACATTTCAATTTCACAAAGAAATGTGCAGCATTTTGTCTGAGAAATAATAAAATTACACCTTTTCATTTATTATTTGTCTTTACTCCTTTTTTTTTATAATCGTGAGAAAATCATATTGTGAAATCAGTAATCGTATGGCATCGTGAGTTGATTTAAATAACTTGAATGGCAAGAGACAACAGAAGAGCAGAAGGAGAATGAGCATAGTTTATTCAGAATAAACCGTGAAGGTGAAAGAATATAACGCAGGAATATTCCTCTATCCGTAGTCTTTTTGGAGCATGCAAACGTTTCTGGAAATAAAGGTTTAATGAGAAGATGGACCTTGACCGGAGAATGGTGTGCAGAGTTAAGAAACACAGTCAATGAAAGAGTTTATTGTTGATTGTCAAATGAATCATTCATGGCTGCTCCAATTTTCTTAGAGGAGCTTGCTAAATTTTGTGCTAGTTAACACGCACATGATTCATGATGATGCACTAAGAAACGCTTTGCATATGTTCCTAAGAACATTTAGGAAATTACTGTATGCTTACATCTAGAAGCATTCTGTGCACATCTTTATAAATGATGCAAAATATTTAACCAACTGTCAAACAGAGAGCGCTGAATGCATCATGAGGAAGGCACGGTGTACTTTGAAAAGCTCATTATGCAGACCTCACTTTAATCTCCAAGAAAACACGTATGTTATATCAGCAGCAAGACTGCTGGAGATCATAACGAGCAGCGCTGCGACGCTCACCGAGTTTCCCATTGCTGAGGCGCTTCTGCTCCACCTGTCCCTTCAGAGCTCGCACCATCTTCAGCTGCGCCTCCTGTTTCTCCACCGCGTCCCTCAGATGCTGCAGTTTCTTCTGCTGCGAGGACGTCTGCAGATGCCTGTGCTCCTGCTGCTTCAGGAAACACAAGCGCTGCTCCTGCGGGACAGTGAGAGGACAGCGGGATGCTCACATTCACTGACCACCTGATGCACAGTCGGTGCTCACTTCATATCAGGCTGACTCCAATAAAAGCTCTGTTACAAAACCTGCCACATTTCCATCTCATCATCACAAACACGCACAGCACATGATGAGGAACACAACACCGTTGTATTTATCCTGTTGTTTTATGTCATTTGCATCCTTGATCTTATATGTAAATAACAAAGATAAGTATCTACATTGTAATATACATAGTTATCATGAATCAAAATTACTTACAGTATATTATATTGTGAAATAAGATTTTGGTCATATCTCCCACCACTAATTCAGCAGTTTTTTTTTTTTTCATTTTCCAGCCCTACCTAGTGTTGTGCTCTCTTCCCATTAATCTCTAATCTACTCAGTCATTTTCCCCGTTCTGATGTGTTTTCCTGTACCTTGGAGGCCAGGAGCTGCTGCTGGGTGTCAATCTGACGCTGCTGTCTGGAAGCCATCTCCTGCAGCTCTGCGAGAGTCATGTCCATCCACGGGCTGCTCACCTGCGCACACAAACATCAGGCTCTGAAATCATCACATGCTCATCCATTTCCTGATCAACTAGACTGCATTCCTCTCATGCTCTCAGATGTGGGAGTCAAACACCGGGATCACGTTACACAAGGAATGAAAGCCACACAAGTGCAGGCAGACTCACTCCATTCTCCGGCCGTCTGTCTGTGGGCTTCTTGACTCCGTTCCTCTTCTGATTCCAGCTCCTGGAGTCTGAAACACAAACACAAGCCCAGTGAAAAACAAGTGAACAGTCAGTAAATAAGAACAAAATTAATGAACAAATTACAAGCAACCGCACAAATAAATGAATAGAACAATGATGAGACAAATTAAAGATGCTTTAGATTTTTAGATTTGTAGGTGTTCAAGTCCAGAAATTGAATACTTCAATGTAAAATAGCATTGCATATTCTTCACTTTATAAATTAAATACATAGATGTTTTAATGTTCAAATTGGCAAGGTGTGTTTGACCGTTAAAGTGCAAGAAGACGCGGAAGAGAAACTCAGTTCGGGGTTCATGCGAGTGCTGAATGGAGTTCTCTTTCACATCGTCTTGCGCTTTGTGTGCTTTTCGCCTCTTCTAATGCTTTCAAATCAATTGAATGTTTAAATTGGCAAAGCTTTAAAAACGCGTGCAAATGATAAACTTTCGTGAGGACACAGCAGTGGTGTTTTACGGCCATCTGGCCGTAATGCGAATTACAAGGATGTTCACAGTGGGCTGTGTTTACATTAATGTCATCATAAAGCATAAAAGCCGATGTGCAAGTACATTTAACCACTTACATGACTCAGCTGAACGCACAAGCGCTCTTCTTCGTGAGCATTTGAGTGTACAGTTAAAAACTAGCCTAGAGCGCCATCTGCTGTTAAAAACTAAGCTCAGAATCGATTCGAGAGAGAATCACCATGCATTCCGAAAATCTCAGAATCGATCCACGAAACGCGATGCATCAATTTATTGTCCCAGCCCTAGCCTTTAGGCACTTTATACAGCAAAACAATTTACTAGAGAGTTGTGCAATGTTTTAAAAAATATTATCAGGGCTCGCAAAATCGCTAACCCGACGTCCCGGGGCTATTGTGTTTTCCAGTCGGGCTGCCAAAATGTATCACCACTCTGCCCAACGGGCTATCTTAAATACAATAAGAAATGTCTTAATTATAATTTCAAGAGGTCTTACAGTTGGGGACAAAAAGACAAGAGTCGCGATACGGCTGGATTAAACTTCAAAAGGCAATGATGTCACTGAATAAATATGAGCGTTGCACGCTTCGCGTCAAAACGCGGCGTGGATGTCTTTATTTGAATGTATCCGAAGGGAACCGACTGTCCTCAGAAACGTATCGTTGGCATATTAATTCCTGATAAAGCAGCGTTTATGAGCACGGAGCTGCTTTGTGTTCAGCCGTTACCGGGGAAACCACAATATTTCAGCTCCTAAAGCGCCACCTCGTGGCAGAGAATGAATCTGCATTTCCAATAAGCCTTTCTTGCTGTTTATGGTAAGATCAATGTAAATATCAACTGATGTTTTTACGCAGCAAACACAGAGTTGTAAATGAGAAAAGTTAATGTGCCTTCTAAAAAGCTAAACAATTAAGACAGTAATATTTATACATTTTAAATTGACAATTTATATGCTTGATTTATCCCTTTTCATAAAAATGGTCTAAAGGCTGAAATGCTGTATAAGATTTTTGTTTTTGTGAAAACCTGTATCTGAACTGTAAATCATGTAATTTAATGGCTCAGTACTGTATGTTACCACAAACATTGTCCAACCCCACTCATACTGTGTTCATTTTACTTGTGCCGCTCTTAAAATGGGTCATAAATTGCCTTAAACTTATTTTAAAAAATTCTGCAGATACCCTAAATAGTGAAATAAAATTCCTTCCTTCATATTTGGTGATATTTGTGTATTAAAAATATTTTTGATTGACATTTAAACTCCTATCTGATTTTCTATATTTAAAAAAAAAAAGGTCTTTTTTTTTTTTTATTTGGGCTAGTTAAATTAATTTTCGGGCTACCAAAATCTGAAGAGTACCTGCCCGAAGGGCTACCATGGATTTAGAAATTTTGCGTGCCCTGATTATCCAATATTTTTGTCCAAAGTTGTTGGAGCCTAGCTGTTATAGCAGTAATGCCACCTGAAGGAGGAGCAAGTACAATCACTTGTGTAAAAGTTTCATTGCCAACATTTGGCATATAATCTCATGAGATTAGATTGGTTGTTGGCAATCATTTTTGTTGACCGGTGTAAAATATTTGTTAAAAATCTTTTTTTTTTTTGGTCAAACACCAATACATTCCTTAGAATTGGAAAAGTAATTTTGATTGTAACCCATACAGTGAATGTACTTATGTGTGTGTGTATGGCTGAGATTTGGGATCACAGTGGTTCTGAACACTTTTTGGGATCTAGTAAATCTGCAACAGAAGTGAATATACCAATCCTTCCCTGTACTTCAACAGCAGTAAAATACTACGGTAAGAACTGCGGTCTGAAGCACGGGTCTAATGTGTCGCTTACCTGTCAGCAGGTTGGGTGATCTGCCCTGACGCAGAAAGAATCGAACCTCGGGCCTCTCCTGTCCCCACTGCAGCAGCAGACCCATCATCTTCTCGCTCTCGCCTATCGCTCGCTCTGCATTCATCGTCACACAAACATGTATTCATACACATTTAGAAGCCACATCGCACCAACTTAGCATCCAGTCAATGGCACTATCTATTTATGGCACTAAAGTGTGGTTAAATTCCCCAAAATTCCCATAACAGAGAGAGGCAGCTGCTGGCAATTGGAACTGATCTTCATCTTATTGATTTTCGTGCAGAATAATCTTCCCCAGAGCTTCACACAGCAGACGGTTCCTTTGCTAGGAAGTGGAGTCTGATGTTGGTGCAGCAATGCACTTAACGTGTACAAAGATTAGACTGTTGTGTGGTTCTAGGTTGAACATGTGCCTCATGTTCTTTGAATGCAGAACCATCTGGAGCGCTAGATCCAACCGTTCTGACTAATCAGATCTAATCTGAATGACACAGGTCTAATACTGATGCCCCGTTCTTCATTAAACCCTCACCTGAGCCTCTCCACACTTCAGCCAGGTGGCTGGCGTCGCCCGGCTCCTTACACAGCTCCACCACGTCACGGCACACGGTCTCAGGCGTGATGGGCACCTCTGTGAAATGCTGGTCATTGTTACTGAGGTACACAGTCAGGAACATCTGGAAAACACAAGCAGATGTGGAGGCCGAGAGGTGGACGGGGGGAGTTTGATCACACAGGCTGATCCGCTCGGTTTTAAGCAAGAACAGCCAGCAATGTTATAGACGTCATACCATTTTCTCCGTCTCTCTCTGATTTAACACACTTGATTCAGATCCTCAGCAGGTTCGGAGAGAGAAGACATGCAGAATGTGCAGAGCTGTCGGGATCAGGATTGAAAATCTGGACAATATGTGATGCTGCCGGTCACACGACACGATTGCATTCATACTACATTATATGGAACAAACCTTTTTACTGCTCGTGAAGTATGTACTTATTCAACAGAAGCACCTGCTGAGAGAGTATGCGACTTCTGACAGCCAATGCAGACTGACCTTCCTAAGTTAATATGCCTCCAAATTAATTTTGGAAAATCAATTGTGATGGTTTTGATATAATAGAGTCATAATCTTGTAGATCCACCAATATTGTACGTAATGTAAGGAACGTAAATTAAACTTTTAATAATTTTTTCCTTGTAAGGAGTTAAAGGGGGGGGGGGGA